AAAAACCCTAAAACATAAAACTTACCACCCCTTAAAAAATTAAAAAAAGGGTTTTAATTTAGCGTTTTTTGGACTTTGTCCAAAAAGTAAGGGGAGGGGGCGGTGTGTTGAGGTGGGAGGGGGAGGGGGGGGGTGTTTGGGGAAGGGGTAAGAGAGGAAGGGGGTGTGGTGTGTTGGGGTGGAGGGCGGGAAGGGGAGGGGGTGATGTTTGGGGAAGGGTAAGAGAGGAAGGGGGTGTGTGTGTTGGGGTGGAGGGTTGGAAGGGGAGGGGGGTGATGTTTGGGGAATGGGTAAGAGGAGAAGGGGGTGGTTTGGTTGTTGGGTGGAGGGTGGGGAGGGGAGGGGGTGGTGTTTGGGGAAGGGGTAAGAGAGGAAGGGGGTGTGGTGTGTTGGGGTGGAGGGTGGGAAGGGGAGGTGGGTGATGTTTGGGGAAGGGGTAAGAGAGGAAGGGGGTGTGGTGTGTTGGGGTGGAGGGTGGGAAGGTCGAGGGGGTGATGTTTTTGGGGAAGGGGTAAGAGAGGAAGGGGGTGTGGTGTGTTGGGATGGGGGTGGGGAGGGCGAGGGGGTGATGTTTGGGAAGGGGTAAGAGAGGAAGGGGGTGTGGTTGTGGAGGTGTGGGGAGGGGAGGGGGGTGCATGTTTGGGGAAGGGGTAAGAGAGGAAGGGGGTTGGTGTGTTGGGGTGGGGGGTGGGGAGGGGGGGGTGATGTTTGGGGAAGGGTAAGAGAGGAGGGGGTGTGGTGTGTTGAGGTGGGGGGTGGGTGAGGGGAGGGGGTTGATGTTTGGGGAAGGGGTAAGAGAGGAAGGGGGTGTGGTGTGTTGAGGTGGGGGGTGGGGAGGGGAGGGGTGTGATGTTTGGGGAGGGGTTAAGAGAGAAGGGGGTGTGGTGTGTTGGGGTGGGGGGTGGGGAGGGGACGGAGTGATGTTTGGGATGACAATATAAAATAAGTCAAATTTGCGACATTTGAATTTATGAATTGATACAAGACACTAAGTCGCGGTTAATGTAGTATTCACAGTTGCGACAATGACTGTGTACCAGTCCCAGTTACGACAGTGTGCAGAACTCACTGTTACGACAGTAACTGCGCATACGCAATAATTGTCGCAACAGTGCTGTACAGTCACAGTTGCGACACTGTACAACAGTCACTGTTTTGACAGTTTGCAGTACTGTTGCGACAGTGAGTGTGCAGCACTGTTGCGACAGTGAGTGTGCAGCACTGTTGCGACAATGAGTGTGCAGCACTGTTGCGACAGTGAGTGTGCAGCACTGTTGCGACAGTGAGTGTGCAGCACTGTTGCGACAGTGACTGCGTGTTTGCTTGCACCCAACCATTGTTATCCGTGACTCCCTGTTCCTCATTTTAATATCAAAGGGTGATTCCCTTTTCCCCTTCCCCTAATTGCTCTTTTCATTCTCTTAATTACCACCTTTACTGCTTTTTGCCTGCGTACTGTTGTATATTAGTTGCTTTTATCAGAATCCTCCTATTCTCTCTCTCTCTCTCTCTCTCTCTCTCTCTCTCTCTCTCTCTCTCTCTCTCTCTCTCTCTCTCTCTCTCTCTCTCTCTTTACTGCTGTACACGGGAAAGCTATTGTTTTGTAGTTGTTTTTATTCCTATATTTATTATGATTATACAACCACCCTGGTAATATTTTTTTTCTTCTGCAGGTGAGTTACTCTGGT